GGGCCCCCCTCCCTGCCACAGCCCCAGGCTGCTCCAAATGGCTGGCTGCTTACAGGGACACACAAAGCCTCCCCCTGCCCTCGGCACCTGGAGCAGAGAGCCACAGGGAGCAGCCAGCTGCTTAAAGTGGCATGAGGCTGCTCTGTGCTTGAGGGTCCTGGTGGGGCAGCCTGCAGGCCAGATCTGCCTCACCTGGCTTACCCCTGTTCTGAGGGAAACTTCCCTTGAGGGTGCTGTGCCGCTGGCACTCTTGGGGAGAAATGCAGCGACTGGCCCCCAGGACTCTCAGGCGCCTTTTGCCAGGGCCCCACTAAGAGAGGTAAAAAGAAAATGCTCAGCTCTGTCCCACTTCCCTCACAGAGGGAGGTTCTGAGGGGAGGGGGACTAGCTGCACAGGTTGCATCCATGAAGGGGAGTCCTGGGGCTACAAACCTGCATCACTTGGAGTCTGCCCCTGCTCCAGAAGGAGCCAGGGGAGGGATCTGTGAGAGAGATCACAGAGGGCTTCCAGGCACTGTGGGCTCGGTCCAGAGCCCTTTGGCAGTAATGAAAAGGCTCCCTTGGCTGCAGCGGGCTTGGCTCAGCCCCCTGGGCCAGCAGCAGCTGCCGGTTGCGTGTTGTTTTTTGCTGCAGTGTGAGAAGCAGGACAGTTCGCCCTCCCCGGGGGAGCTGGTGCCATTCGGGCCTATCAAGAAGGAGAATCGCTCGGTGCATGTCTGGAGCCCTCTGGCTGGAGAATGCTCCGTTACCTGTGGCGGAGGTGAGATGCTCCTGAGGCCGCACGGAAACGGTCTTTGATCCGGGGCTGAGCTGGGTGAATGAACCGTTCTCCACCAAGAAGCGGGGGGTGTGTGTAGCTGTGAACCCCAAGGACATGGAGTCTGGAGGAGTGAGGGGCACCTGGTGCGGGGCTTGGTACAGGGGGTGCAGAGCCTCCTCTTGCTACATTCTGGTTAGAATCTGGAGTAGGCTGGTCCTGATGTAAGATCTGGGGGGCTTGGGCAGAGCCCAGAGCCATGTCCATGCCACACTGTCCGTCTCCTCTTTCCTCCCAGGTGTGGCCCAGCTTCGCTTCGTGTGTGTGGCTTTCGAGACCAAAGCGGAAACCCACGAGAAACACTGTCACCCCGTGCCAAAGCCAGCAAGCAGGCTGGAAAGCTGCAATCCCATGCTGTGCCCGCCGAGGTAGGAGAAAGGGTTATTTTCACCCTTAGCCTCCAGGGATGGGGTGGGGTGATGGGGCCAGCTGTCTCCCGCAGGGGAAATATTATGTTGTCCCCGGTACAGATGTTCTCTCCATTCTCGTCACCCCAGCTGGGAGGTGAAGGAGCTGGCGGCATGCCCTGTGAGCTGTGGAGGAGGGAGACTCCCCCTCTCTCTGCGCTGTGTGAGACAAGAAGGAAATACCACCCGGCCTCTTCCTCATTCCAAATGTGGTAGGATGCCCCGACCGGCCAGCACCAAGGAGTGCGGCACTGATCCGTGCCCGGCAAGGTAACCGCTAGTCGCTTTAGGGCCTGGGTATCACTGAGGGAAGCCCTTGCTTGCTTATGTGCCCAGGAAATCTTAGCCCTTGACCCCTCACTACCCCGGAGCTGGGAGGAGCCCTGTTGTAACAAACCTGGGGTTGTAAATGTGGACACGACAGTCTCCACCTCATCGGCGGACAGACATTCCAAGACCCCAGGGTTACGTCTATACTACATCCCTCTGGCGCCAGGGGGATGTAAATTAGACACACCGAAATTGCTAATGAAGTGGGGATTTAAATCTCCCGCGCTTCATTAGAATAAAAATGTCCGCCGCTTTTTGCCAATGTGGCAATTTACCGGCAAAAAGCGGCAGTCTAGATGGGGATTGGTCGGCAAGGAAAGCCTTTTCCAACCGATCCTGTAAACCTTGCTGCACGAGGCATAAGGGATCAGTCGGAAAAGGCTTTCCTTGCCGACCGATCCCTGCCTAGACTGCCGCTTTTTGCCAGCAAATTGCTGTGTCGGTAAAAAGCAGCGGCCATTTTTATTCCAATGAAGCGCGGGAGATTTAAATCCCCACTTCATTAGCAATTTCATTATGTCTAATTTACATCCCCCTGGCGACAGAGGGTTGTAGTCTAGACATACGCCAGGTGTCTCCCATGTGAATTAAAGCAGTATTTCTCAGCCAGTGGTATGCGGACCCTCAGGGGTACACAAGAGAAGTCGGGGGGGTATATCAACACAACTGAAATTTGGAGAAAATGGAATTTTTGTTTTAAGTTTTACAGCACTTCATTATTTTTGTACTTTTTACCCCCAAAAATTTCATCGCCCACCCAGCTACGATTAAGTTGTTTAAACAAATGTGTTGCAATGGTAGAAAAAAATTGTGTGTGTCTGAAAACTGTAGGTACTGGGAGGACTTATAATTTTTTTAAAAAAGGGTACTTTATAAAAAAAGGTTGAGAAACACTGAACTAAAGGACAATCGGCTGCCATCTTTAATAGGGCACCATCAGTTTGTTGGGGATTGGTCAGAGCCATTCCTATAAGACTTTTACCAAGTTCCACATCTGGAGTGTTGCACCCAATTCTGGACCCCCCACTACAGAAAGGAGGTGGACGCATTGGAGAGAGTCCAGTGGAGGGCAACCAAAATGAATGGCCTCTGCAAATCTCTCAAATAAGCCCCATAACGATAAGCTGTGGATCTCGTTCTTCGGAGGTTGGATCCAACTCGTAGCTCCCGGCTGGCCGCTGGAGGCGCTCACTGGCGGCTGTGTTGTTCCCAGGTGGCGTTCCAAGCTGGACTCGTGCAGCGTGAGCTGCGGTGGCGGTGTGGCGCGCAGGGTCCGGTACTGTGCGAGGGAGCGCGGGGACAAGGCGGAAGAGGTTGTAGCAGATGCGCAGTGTCGTGGGTTGCCTCGCCCGGAGGAGCAAGAGCCGTGTAATTTGGAGCCGTGTCCTCCAAGGTCATTACGGGCATGCTCCCCAGGACCCAGCGTGGGGTGGGGGGGAAGGCAGGTTACAGAGGGGACCTCTGGGTTGTCACGTTCCAGATGCTGGAGCTCTGTAGGAAGGGGGAAGGGAGATCTCTCCCCAGTCACTGCTCACAAGGTAATTTCAGGACCATATTAAGATGGGTCAGGACCGAGACGCAGCCCTAGACTAGCTGCCAGCAACTGGCGCCCTAGGCGAGCCATGCAATCGGCGCCCCCACCTCCAAACCCCTCAATGATATTGCGCCACCACTTGGCGCCCCATTTAACTTGGCGCCCGAGGCGACTGCCTAGTTGGCCTATATGGACGGGCCGCCCCTGTGTGGCAGGGTGGCCGTGGAAGCTTGCTGGCCACCGGTTCGCTAGGAGGGTCTGTGGTTTCTGGTGTGACGTTGCAGGAGGCTGTTTACTGGGCTGAAAGAACATACGAGTTGGTCTGTTCAGGCTGTCGGTTCTGGGGTCGGGGGAGGGTGCATGGAAAGATCATAAGACCAGGTCTTGGCTCATTTCAGCCCAGACAGGTCTCCCTGGGAGCTGGGGAGAAGGGCTGCGATGCAGGTTCTGAGGACCCCAATGCAAATATTGAGCTTGTGGAGTTTTTGCAGCTCCTGGGCTGCAGCCACGGTGAGGCTGGGGATGCTGGGGCAGTGTGGCTGCCCCATGCTCCGGGGCCAGGGAGGCTGGGGCTGGGCATTGCCCACCCTCCCCATGAGCCAGGGCCAGGGAGGCTGGAGGCTTGCCCCTGTGGTGGTGTGGGAGGAGGGGCTGGCTTGGCGCCTGTGAGGGGCAGCCCCCACCCACGACAGGGGCTGGTGGGGTTCCAGATGTGGGTTGGAGCTACGCTAAACGGGGATGATCTGAGGCTGCAGTGAGTGTGGGGGGCAGAGGAAGAGAATCTGCGGGTGGCTGGGGCAGATGAGGGAGTTTCAGCGCGTGCTTTTCACCAGCAGTTGGTGGGAGGAGGGGAAATCAGGCCTCACTGAATTTTCTCCTTCCCCTCGGATCAGCTGGAAAGTCGCCGCGACTGGTCCGTGTTCCTCCTCTTGTGGGCTCGGCCTAGCTGCGCAGCTGATCACCTGTGTCCAGCTCCGGCAAGGCCTAGAGACGGAGCTGGAAGAGAGTTCATGTCCGGAGACAGAGAGACCCCTCTCCCGCATCCCTTGTTTCATCCGAACGTGCTCTTATGAGTGGGCTTTCAGCGAATGGACCGAGGTACCTGCTACCCTTCTAACGCAGTGCGGCGCGTAGGAGCTCTGCACCCCTCTGGCTTCAGAGCACACCCCAGGACTACGTCTCTCTCGCACGCTGCTAGCCTCCCTCCGAACACCAAACTGTCTCATCCCTCCTTCCTCCTGTGGCAGAGAGCCTGCGCTGCCCACACGCTGCGGGACTTCTAGTCTTTGGCTGCTGTTTAAAAATGGCCCTTGCATATTTTGGGGTGATGTGCTTCACGCAGGTCTTTTCTGAACTTTCCTCAAATCCTTCCCTTGCCAGATCCTTTCCCTGCCCACTCACTGGCATGCACGAGGCCTGCCACGTCTGTGGGGCTTTGGGACAGTGGCTCGGAGCTGCTCTCTCCTTTTCACAGCCAGGGAGCCTCACGCACGTAGACGTTCAATGTGTTGGCCAGTGTCCTTGGAAGAGCTGAGACTGGAACTCCTGGCTCCCTGCCCCGACCCCCCTTCCTCCTGCATAGCATCCTGGCTGTGGGGTTTATACAGGCCTCTGGGTTTCTCCTGCTGCAGTGCTCGGCCTCGTGTGGCAACGGGATTCAGACACGGCAGGATTTCTGCCTCGATCCTCAAGCCCGCAAGCACGTGAACCCCGTCTTCTGCATGCACTCCCCCAAGCCCATCACGGTGCGTGGCTGCTCTGCCAGCCCCTGTCCCGAGCAGCCTGCGGGGGAGGGGTCCTCAGGACCACAACGCCAGATGCCAACTTCAGCTACGAACCCGCTAACGACAGCAGCCGCCACGTATCCCGAGAGGCCAAAATACAAAGCTCTGGGTCGTCCTCCCACCAGGGTGCTGGCTCCTTCTCCCAAGCACCCCAAGGAGCTTTCAGCAGGGAAGGCGGATGCTGCTGAAGAGTACAGTTACGTGGTGATTATATAGGGCGATGGCCAATGTTCCCTCTCATTTTTCCATTCATGTGCAGAATAAATTTTGTCATATGCACCGAGGCGTGTGTGGATGGGCACCACTAGTAGAAAGACATGCTGCCAGCTGGGGGCTCTCTGCTAATCAGCTGGGTGGCATTTGAACCTCTCCACCCAAGTGCTCAGCTTACAGGGAACACGGGGGGGATGGTCTTAGCCAGTGCTCAGGCCAGGGATCTGAAAGTCCTGCAGCACTAGGCATGAGAGCTCTCCCGTACATCAGTAGGAAATTTGTCTGGGCCAAAACTTCAGATTCAGGTGCCTGATCTTTTAAAATGAAATGAAATTCACGGAGCAGCCTCACTCCGGCCCCACGGCAAGCTCAGATCCAGGGCAGTGGGGTGAACGCCCCATGTGGCGACAGCACATCAGTCCGGCTGGTGGCTCTGGAGAGGGGGAGGCTCTGCTCAGAGCTGTGCAGAGCCTCCCACTTGGAGCTGTGGGCACCATTCAGAGCACGAGCAGAAGCTCCCAGCATGCACCTCGAGCCAGGTTTGCTCGAATTCGTTGGAAGTTTTGCTGTGAATCAGACCTCCCAGGCATCTCCTGGGCAAAAACTCCCTTCTCTGTACTTCCCCGGGCCCCCTGCGTTCTTTGGATTGCAGGCACCTCAGGGCAGCACCTGTCTCCCTGGATCTCTTGCATGGAGATCGAACACACTGTTGGCACCTGCTCCACAGCAGGGCTGGCAGTCTCTGCCCCAGCCAGCCTGCAGGCAGTACAGAGCAGAACTGTGAGGTGCAGGCAGTGGTTGCAGCCTGTCGCTGGGCGTACGTTACTCAGCCACCGTGTCCGTGCTGATGTCTTTACTGTGCAGGTGTCTGTGGAAGCCTCTTCCTCAACTCCACCGGAGTCATCAACATGACCGGCCTGCGGGTCAGTGACTGCACGGTGTCCATCGGACGCCCCTTGGGGGAAGTGGTCACAGTCCAGGTGCTGGAGAGCTCCCTAAATTGCAGCGCAGGTACGTTCCGGAGCCGGCAGAGCTCATCCAGGGCAGGGGACATTTAGAACCTGCCACGTCCCGGTTCCTTGTCTGTACACTTTTGCTGGTCGTCCTGCATGCCCGTCATTGGGCACAGGCACCAGGGTGTTCTCAGCAGAGGGTCTCCAGCTGTGGAGCAGCCTAAGTGCGTTAGCCACTGAGGCACGACACAATGGGATAATTTCCGTCAAGTCTTTGCCAGATGTGACTAAATTCAACCATTGCCTTTTCTTTCCCAGTCTCTTCTGATTACTTCTTTTACCGGTGACAGGTAGGTGCGGGGTGGGGCAAAAGGTAGGTAGGTAGGTGCGGGGTGGGGGTGATAGGCACCAGCTCACCCCGGGCTCAGTGCGCGCTGCCGCTTGAAATGACGGGGACTCCCCAGCTGACCCTAGGCTCCCTGTGGCGTGCCAGCTTTGAAATGTACAAGAGTCCTCGGCGGGGCTCTTGTACATTTCAAAGGCAGAATGCAGAAGGGATTATCGACTAGTCGATGGAAATTCCAGCGACTTCTCGATGAGTAAATTAATCGCTAGTTAGCATCCTTAGCAGAGACCATGCCATCTTTGTATCTGTGAAGCACTGGATAATGTGCAGTGCCATTTAAAATGTTTTAAACTATCTTAGTAAAGTTCATCTTCTAGCGATGTTAGTGCAGAAATGACCATGGTACCATGAGGAAGCAAAGCCCTGGGTGATAGTGGCTCCATCTCGGAGATGAGACATAGAATCAAGATCCTGACCACAGGTGGTGGGCATTCAAGAGCTTATGACACTGTTTTAGCCAGGTATTAGCTACAGTCTCCTAGCAAGAGTCCAGTGTGTACAGTTATAATCTTGCTTTTAAAAATATCCTTGTGGTTTAGCTATCCGATTCTTCTTTGCTTTTTTCCCTTCGACTGTTATATAGTGCTGTTCAAAGCTGCTGTGTTCCACACCAGAGGTGCTGCATTTCATTAATGGGTGAAGTGCCCGTTACGTTAGCCTCTAAAGCTGTTTCTTACATCTGTAAAGTATACAGCTGTCATTTGTATCTGATGGTGATATCGCAACAGCACAGATATTCTCATGTAGTTGTATCTGTAAGGCACAGGATCACATGGGAATGTGCAGGCTCCTCCTGAGGACTTGGCATGGCGATTGGCACTTTTTCCCCTCCATTTTTTTTGCATTAGCCTTCCTCAAAATGTTCACATCCTTTATTGACAGCTGCTCTCCATTCAGCTCTGTCCATGGCTATGATTTCGACATTATCCCTGTTGATGCGGCAAAAGGTCGGACTCTGTTTAAGGGAGTCTTTGAAGTGTTTTCATTGCTCACCCCTCCTGCCCGTTCCAAGTCCCAGCTCATCGTAGAAACCATTTTTGGGCATCCGTCATCTCCCATTCTGACACCATGATCTCTCCTTCGAGGTTCATTGCCTTGATGCTGATTGGCTTGGCTTTTTCACGGACGTTAAGCTTTGAGACTTGTGCAGTGGAGTACTTCACAGTAAAAGGATCCTTTATGACTGTTTGGTTTATTACAGGGGAGATATTGCTCTTTTCTGGACGGATGATGTGGCGGACAGGCTGTAAGAAGCTGAGGGGGTCGTCTATAAACTCCAGGATGAACACACTGATGGTGAGACAGCGCCTCCTGTGGCCGGGGAATGGTGTCGTTCTTCAGTACAAGAGCAAAGCAGCAGCAAAAAAATATTACCAAGGTACTTTGCTAAACTTTTCACTGTGGCTTTAAGGCAGGGACAGGGAAAGCAAGGTCCACTGAGTTCCACGGTGCTGTTCGTGGCTGCCCCTGGAGACCAAAGGGCCCAGGAGATGTTGATCCTTCTCCAGGGACCCACAAGGCCTCTCAGCAGAAGGCAGAGTATTGCATGCTGGGAACAGTCATCTCCATTGGCTGCCCTCCCATGCTGAAGAGGAGTCCCTACAAGATGGTTGCACATGCTTTGAGATCCCCATCTGCAGTGCGCTGGGGAGCTTTCTGGACGGATTTGCTTTATTTCGTACGGGCGTACCCAACACAGTATTCCAAATGGCTTTCTCCCCCTACCCATCTTCCCCATCCCAGACTGTGATGTGCAGCTGTTTGGTCCCTGGGGCGAAATAGTGAATCCCGGACAGTTGCCGGACCCGAAACGACAAGTGGCATGTCGGACCTTTATTGAGGTGGCTCCACGTTATCGCATAGCCATCCACGCCCTCTACATGGACCTGGGGATGGAGAACAACCAGACACACTCCAATTTCATTTTGGTGAGAATGCAGCATGAGGTGGGGCATGCTTTTCCCCTCACAGGACCTAAGAAGTTTGTTGATACGTTTGAGGTTCAAAGTACACAACAGATTGAACCTCTCTCGTCCGGCCCCCTCAGGACCTGATGGGTCCTGAACTAGAGAATTTGCCAGATCACAGGAGGTCAATATTGTCTAGCAGCATTACCAACACTTCCACTGCTTGCTGGAAGACATTGAGGAGTCAGTTAGAGGTACACAGCAGCACAGAACACCGAGAGCCAGGCCTGGTAGCTGTAAACAAACTTTATGGGACCATGGAAAACTTGGCCACACCCACAATAAATGGCCATCCGGCTAACTAAAATCATGCCGGACCATGGATGTTGCTGGACCACAGAGTGCCAGACTAGAGAGGTGAAATTGGTAGAAATCATAGAGAGCCAGATTCTGATCTCAGTTGCACTGTGTAGCTCTGGAGTGACCAGAATGAAGTTACTAGGATTCTGTCCCCAACTGTTGTAACTTCCCAACTTGTTAGTACCAGGTCCCCTGAATTATGAATGTACTTCCCGGAGGGGTCCCGGCATAGCACAGGCAAGGCTCTTGCTGAAAAGAGGCAGGCTGCTCTGTGATTATGATTGGATCTTTGCTTTGTTCAGGTACGGGATGTGAATGCTGTGAAGACGACAGTGTTTCGGGGGAAGCAGCTGTTCTTCTGGGAATCAACAGGGAGCCAGGCTGAAATCGAATTTCATGAAGGCTTTACAGAAGATCGCATCAGTTTCCGAGCAGCATACTGGATGAGTGAGCCCCGATAAATGGAAACAAGGGAGGCAGTAGATCAATTAGGGGCTGGACTCCTGTCTCTGACACAGATTCACTGTTTGTCCCTGGGCAAGACATTTAACCTCTCTGCCTCAGTTCCCCCCTCTGTTTAATTGCAGTAACAACATCTGCCCACTTCACAGGGCTGCTCAGTTAATATGCACAAAGCACATGGAGATGCTCAAGTGAAGGACATTATATAGACACCAAATATAATTCTCTGAAGTTTTTTTTCCCCGTCTCTCCCGACTAGTCCTGAGACAATTTACTTGTCTGAGACAAATGATTGGGGGCCTGAAACATAAATCATGACTGTGATCTGATACCACCTGTTCACAGTGCCTCAGCATCCACTGATGTAGATGTAGATTAGAACAGTTAGCAGCTTAACCCTTTAGCATTTTCCCTTTTGGCCAACTACACGCATGTGGACAGATAAACTGTTCAGAATTGATGGACCTGATGCTCTTTTACACTCTGGCAGTGTACAAGGACCAAAAAGTTTAACACGAACATAAGAATGGCCAGACTGGGTCAGAACAAAGCTCCATCTAGCCCTGTATCCTGTCTGCCCACGGTGGCCAATGCCAGGTACCCCAGAGGGAATGAACACAAGAGGTTCAATCAGTCCATCCTCTATCACCCATTCCCAGCTTCTGACAAACTAGGGACACCATTCCTGCCAATAGCCATTGATGGACCTATCCTCCATGAATTTACCTGGCTTTTTTTAACCCTTTTATAGTCGTGGACTTCATAACATCCTCTGGCAAGGAGTTCCACAGGTTGACTGTGTTGTGTGAAATACAGGTTGGACTTCCCTGGTTCGGCACCCTTGACCTGTCCCAAACAAGGAAGTTTGCCTGACCAGGGGAAGTCAGATCTCCGGGCTCTCAGGTGGAGCCCCTCCCTGACCACCAGGCTCTGCTGCTCCTGGCTCTATTGGTCCCACTGGCTCCATGGCCGGTGCCCTACCACTGCCATTCCCAGAAGCTCTGCTGCTGCTGGCCCTGTGAGCTCCTCTGATGCCAGCCCTGCAGGCTGCTGGTCCACCATCCTGGCTGCATTCTGAGGCTACCAGCTGAACTGCTGGAGCTCTCTGGTCCAGCAACATCTGTGGTCCGGCTGTTGCCAGATCAGAGAGTCCTGGACCAGAGAGGTTCAGCCTTATTTGTTTTAAACCGGCTGCCTATTAATGTTATTTGTGACCCCTAGGATATGTCTAGACTACAGGCTTTTGTCAACAGAGGCTTTGTCGACAGAGAGCGTCTAGACTACATCCAGTTCTGTTGACAAAGCAAGCCGCTGTGTTGACATGAGAGTGTAGACGCAAAGGACAGTGTAGATGCAATAACGCCTTCTGTCAACAAAACCCTGTAGTCTAAACACACCCTTAGTTCTTGTGTTAAGAAAAGGAGTAAATAACACTTATTTACTTTTTCCACACCAGTCATGATTTTATAGACCTCTCCTCCCTTAGCTGTCTCTTCTCCAAGCTGAGAAGTCCCAGTCTCATTAGTCACGTCTCATATGGCAGCCTCCAAACCTGTAATAGTTATTGTTGCCCCCTTTTTGTACCTTTTCCAAAATCCTGAGTCAGGCCTCAGAAATCAAGATGGTGGCTTAAAAATCATGAACTTTCAAATAATAATAGCTGTTGGGTTCGGTTTCATTGCTGTCTGATTTCTGAACCTTTCGGTCACTCACACAGAAACCCAAAAGCAAGTAGAAAAGCCAGGAACGTGTTTTAAGAAACCAAAAGCTGAGATTCGAATGTGCTCCCTCGGTCCCAGGAGCTGGGGCTTGAAGAAAAACTCCAAATAGTGAGACACGCAATAAAATGGTCACCGCCACGCATAAAAGGTGCTTTCCTGCGGTCTCTAATATGAATGGGAAGAGTTCCAAGAAAAAAAGATTTTTGAACGGCTGGTTGAAACACACAACGAAATCCTTCTTCACAAGAGGGGTAAACGCTTTCAAAACTGCCTCATGAGATTAAATCCTAACCAAGGGGCCCTGGTTCCCAGTGCCTGACAGTTAGCAGCCCCGGAAGTCACTGAACACTAATTGCCAGAGAGAAGAGAGCTGGGGTGAAGGGTGGAGTGGGTGTTTCCCTGAACCCTCCCAAACCAATCCCTTCTAATCAGCCTTAGCGCAGGTCATGTTTGGTTTGCATATACAGACACACCTCCCGCTGGTCTCCTACACGCTCCGGCAGACACATCTGGATCCTGCCCTTGCACACTGGCCAGCTTGGCAGCGCGCCCTAGATGCAAAAGAGCAGCACATCCATGCACTCATCTCCGCGTGTGCATTCCCACCCCCGCAGGTGCATACTTGTGCACACCCAGGCAGCCTCACAAGTGTGCACAGGTACGTGCATTCCCAGAGGTACATGCACAAGTGTGCCGGGCTCAGGTGCACCAGAGACTCATTCCTCAGCCAGCTGCTGCTGCTCCTCACTGTGGCCAGACAGAGCCCTGCCCACTGAGCTATTTAATGAGGGGGGTGACATCAGAGTGACTCCCTCTCGGAAGGGAGGGGACCCACAATGCAATGCACGGGGAGACGTGTAAGCTGGTGCTGGTGCTGCTGCTGGGGACAGAGTCTCTCCATTGTCAGCAAGAAGAGAGCAGCTGTCAGGGGAGAGGCTGGCTCCATGGGGCGGCAGTGAGGGGCCCTGCTGCAGGACGGGTGTGAGGGGTGTCCCCTCTGCAGTGGCTCAGGTGAAAGGGGGGGGGCTGCCCCAAGCCCCTGAGGAGGGGGGCACGCAATGAGCTCCCAGGAGGATCCGTTCCAACAAGCTGCCCCTGTCCCAGCTGCCTCCTCGGCTGACGATGGCATGACCTGGTGGTACAAGTGGCTGTGCAGGATCGCCGGGGTCGTCGGGGGCGTGTGTAAGTAGCTCTAAAGTCCTGCTTGCCAGGTGCCCCTGGAATCACCCCCCACAGATGGACCGTCTCCTGGATCAGCGCTGCTGATCTGTGCCCACGTGCCGGGGACTGGCCATGAAAGCGCGCCTGGGTCACAGGCGCAATTATCTGCCCGTCTGCCTAATCCCAGCCAGACAAAGATCCAGAAGCACATTGTCTAGGTGCGGGAATGGGGAGCGATGTTAACCGCAGCCTGCAGTGCGCGCGCGTTGATTGTTTAACCTGCCTGGGCCTCATCATGGGACCCTGGCGGACTTACGCCGAATTGTGATGTTCCCCTTCAGGGGGAGCGGGCCTTGGCCCTGAGCCTGCAGTGTGGAGCAGGCAGGTGGATGGCACTTGGATTGTAATGGGGCTCTTGCCTGGACAAAGCAATCAGTGTGCAGTTTGCAGGCTTGGTTCATTGTTATGGACCAGGGGATGCTTGTGTGTTTCCACTTCTTGTTTTCCTTCTGATCTCCTGGTGTGTGTGTGTGTGTGTGTGTGAGAGAGAGAGAGAGAGAGGGGAGTGCTCAAATTGGGAGGCACCCAATGCAAACAGAGGAAAAATTGGGAGGCAAACATAGGTTTTTCCGCATAATACTCTCTCTCTCCCTACAGCTACGGTTTGGGTTCCAGAATCAGCCATACAAATCCCTCAAGCACTTCCCTATTATAATGTGCTGTGAACAATAGCTTGATTCATTACAGCTGCTCTAAATCCTGCTGTTTTGATACAAATCTTTGCATAAGGCATACAGCTGTAGTCTTTCCCCTGGAGACACCACTGAGTCTGTGTATGTGTGTGTGAGGGAGAGAGAGAGAGAGAGAGAGAGAGAGCGCGCGCCAGAACCAGAACGGGTTCAGAGAGCCACAAAGAAACAAGATAAGTTCTGTACAACCAGGAGTGCAGATCCCAGTGACAAGGCTGGACACTGTGAGTTCATTAAGGAAGAGCAGTGATAGCTATGTCCTTTGGGTAGGTCATGGGTATTTTTGTTTTGTTTTTATTTATACTATCGGTCCTTATCTGTCAGATTAAAGAACACTAATGAAGTAATCAGGATGGGCTTGTGCCAACAGATTCGGTCAATCTTGAGGCAGCTGCCAAGCAACTCAGTCACTGCTGGCTGCAGCAGTTTGGCTATGGTACAGCCTGTTAAAGAAGACATAGCCATATGAGAGAGAGAAAGAGAGACCACTGTGTGTGTGTGATCTCCTGGTGTGTGTGCGTGTGGGAGAGGGAGAGACAGACACCACTGAGTCTGTGTGTGTGTGTGTGAGGGAGAGAGAGAGAGAGAGAGAGAGAGAGTGTGTGTGTGTGTGTGGGGGGGGTGTGGGTGTATCCAATCGAGAGCAGTGAGTGTGTGTGTGTGTGTGTGTGTGTGTGTGTGTGTGTGTGAGGAGAGAGAGAGAGACCACTGAGCCTTTTCTAAATTAAGGGATTTTATCTTTGAAGCAAACGGAAGGGGGAGGGCACAAAGCAGGAGATCTCTGCTGGCTTGTGGAATCTTGCCCCTGAAATTAACAATCTCCCGGGGCAAGAGTTCGGCTGTCTGGTTTGACAAGATGACTAGATCTTAAAACCAGAAGGGCCGGTTAAGATTATCTGCTTCCTGCATCAAGCCCATCACTTCTGGGGAAGCGAGAGCATCTCCTGGAAAACCTGAATGCTTGGTTTGTTCACTGGGTCAAAATATTTTATCCCCCCCACCCTTCTCTGTCTCCCCCTCCCTGCCTGGCTCTTGTTCTCTGTCTGGTTTGACAAGATGACTAGATCTTAAAACCAGAAGGGCCGGTTAAGATTATCTGCTTCCTGCATCAAGCCCATCACTTCTGGGGAAGCGAGAGCATCTCCTGGAAAACCTGAATGCTTGGTTTGTTCACTGGGTCAAAATATTTTATCCCCCCCACCCTTCTCTGTCTCCCCCTCCCTGCCTGGCTCTTGTTCTGGAGACAGAGGTACAGGGCAACAGCCTTTCTGCCGGAGGCCTTATGTTCTTCAGTAGCAGGTGGCAGGTTTGTCCTAGACCGTTTGGCTTGCCTGAGTAGAACATGCCCCTTAACCTGAGGATGTGCCGGGCTGAGGCGGGGGCTTTCGGACATGCCTTAGAGCTGAGGCACATGTTGGCAGCTGTGTTTTTTGGGGAGGTGAAAGGATGTAACAGAATCGCTCCTACTGGGTGAAATTCACCTCTGTACCTTGTCTACTCCCCTGGCATACAGTTCAGCAGAGTCCCTCCAAGGCTGGGAATCTCTCATGAGCTGTGAGCATTACTAGAGCTACCTGGAGGCTTCCACTCCGGCCTCGATAGTTTCAGTTGCAGCTTACAGTCCTTGATGAGCTGGGGTTTTTAGCAAGGGACGGCTGGCGCCGCAGCAATGCTCCGAGGCCGAGGGTTCAGCACTCAAGGGGACAGCTTGTCACAGAGCGTTGCCAACGTCAAGCCTTAAGAAATCATGAGTGTGCTTCAAAAGTCACGGAATTGGAAGGAAAAAGACAAAGACATTTGGGTTCTTTTTTGTTACCTTCTGGCATGCTGGGTCACGTTTCCCACTAGGGATGTCAATAGTTAACCTAAATGGGTGATGCTTATCAGTTCCAGTCAACTGGTGGGGGCTAGCGCGGCTCCCCACCTGCTGCAGGCAAGGGTGCTCCAATTGTCTGGAGCATCCCTGTCCACAGTTGGGACGGGGATGTTCCCACTTGTCCGCACTGGGCAGAGGTGACTGCTTCAGCCCAGCCAGGCTGGAGCGCTCCCTCCCCACCTGCCTCCCCTTTAATCAGTTAAACACAATGTTTAACCCATTAACCAGTTAAATGGGATTGTGCATCCCCATTGCCCACTTTTCTGTGCAACTTGGAGGGCTGGAAAGGTGCTTGGTTTTAAAACATAAGCTGCGATGCTCACCTAGTCCCAGGGGCCGGGGCTGTCCAACAAACATCAGATTTGGCAAGAGCCATGACCAGCAACAGTATTGCTAATGAGCCAGGAAGGCCAGAAAATCAGAGCACCCCCCAAGTAGTTTCTTGTGAGTTTGCCAAGCAGAGAAAAAATATGCTCAGCGACTCCTGGGCAAATAGAGGCCAAAGTCAGGGGCAGGTGACAGAAGGGCCGATTCTCTGACTCCAGCGTACTAATAATGACGATGTCTTGTCAAAGAAGGGTTGCTGGGTGTCCCGTTTTTTAATGGAATACTCAGTTGAAAAGGGTGACCAGGGGAGGGAAGTGGAGAAGAATCTGCCTGCTGCCACTGCCTTGTGTGCCAGCTCTGCAGCTCCCATTGGCTAGGAATTGTGGCCAATGGGAGCTGCAGGGGTGACACCCATTGGCAGGGTCAGTGCTCAGAGATGCCTGGCTGTGCCTTTGCCTTGGGTCTGCAGGGACACGTCCTCACTTTCCAAGAGCTGCCTGAGGTAAGTGCCACCTGGAGCCTGCACCCAGAGCCGTCCTGTCCATAGGACGGTTTGGGGGCAGTTGCTTCAGGCTCCACATTTTGGGGAGCCTCGCAGTGGCCACCTCAACCATCCTATGGCAGTAAAGGACTCCCAAATTGACCTTAGCTGCAGGGTCCAGGGGGATTACCTGGGAGGTGGCCTGGGGCTGGAAGCAGGGGTTGGCCCCCCAGCAGAAGTGGAGCAACCCAGCAGCCTGCTCCGCTCCTCTGCCATCTCCCAGCTGGGCTGCGCCACGACTCCCCTCCCCTCCCCTGGGTGAGGCAGGGCGTGGGGGGGGGGGGCCCCCCAGGGCACTCCGCTTCCCCCCACTGGGAGATGGTGGTGGATGGGCAGGGCAGGCTGCTGGGTCGTTCCATTTCCCACGGCTCCTGCCGGGATGAGTGTGGGGGGCTGAATCCTGAGGCTGCCCTGTGCCGGGCTGCTCCAGGTCTCCATCATTCGAGACGGCTAAGAGCAGGTTAGACAAACCCCCGTCAGGGGCGGGCTGTGTAATACTGAGTCCTGCCAGGACTTTCGAGGTCCCTTCCAGTCCGATGAGTCGGTGAATTACAGAGGAGCGAATTCTGCTGCTCACAGTTCATTTTAGCTCCACGTTCTCTGCGTGCTTGTCACAGGGTAGGCACACTCTGTCCTCGGGTTGCAAGTGCCCAGGGGTGTGGCCGCCGCCTGGTCATCTGTCGGGTTGCCGTCCGCCTCTCAGTCTATACAAACTCGTCTCTGTGTAGAGTAGTGCGGCCTAAAGGCTACAGTCAATACGGTTTGGCACTTTAACTCAGGGCAGCACGGCCTAGTGGCCAGAGTCTGTAGGGGGTGGCCCTTTAATTCAGGGCAGAGTCAATAAGTTGGGGGGGGTAGAGTAGTGCGGCCTAAAGGCTACAGTCAATACGGTTTGGCACTTTAACTCAGGGCAGCACGGCCTAGTGGCCAGAGTCTGTAGGGGGTGGCCCTTTAATTCAGGGCAGAGTCAATAAGTTGGGGGGGCACCGCAGTAGGGGGACCCAGGCCCACCCTACTCTACCAGGTCCCGATCCAGGGTCCTGTGAGCGGCAGTGTTCTACCACCCGATCAGCGGGGAGTCCAACTGAAACAGGACACGCTCACCAGGGTGGGAGATACCTCTCTGACACCCTTCCTGGGTTCTCAGCGGGGAGTCTAACTGAAACAGGACATGCTCACCTGGGTGGGAGATACCTCTCTGACACCCTTCCTGGGTTACTTCCTACCGGCGTTGGAGGACCCATGTCCCATGTGGTCCCTGGGTGTGCTGGTTCTCCTGCAGCTGGCTCTCCCTGAGGCTCCTCCGGCGCTGGTAGCCCACTGTGGTCTCCTGGGTTATGTCTACACTCACGGCTTCTTGCACCAGAAATAAGCAGATGAGGCTAAGCGTGGAATATCGCCGAGCCTCATTTGCATACCTAATGAGTCCCCATTTTTGCAGAAGAGGCTCTTGCGCCAGAAGGAGCTGTCTACACTGCCCCTGCTTGCGCAAGAAAAAAACCTCTTGCACAATGCCATTCTTCCTGAAAAGTAAGAGGCCTGGGGCAAGTTGCTCTCCCGCTCTCAGTTTCCCCATCTGTAAAATGGGGATATGATCCTGACCTTTGGGATAAAGCTCATTGAGATGGATGTGTAAGCAAGGGGCATTGAGACAGAGAAGTGAGGTCTCCTCTACAGCCTTAGCTTGAGTTTGGGCAAGTCACTTTGCCACTCTGTGCCTCAGTTTCCCCATCCGTGAAAGGTGCTAATTACACTGACGTACTTCCTAAGGGGGTTGCGGGCGTTCATTAATTAGTGCTTTAAACACTCCCCCACCTTTCTCTCTGCTTTTGAAGATGAGACACACAAGACACATGCCCAGGCAAGACACTGATCTCTGTGGACTCTCACCACTGGAAATCCGTAACAATGAGCAGGTCACAGCTTCCAAAAGTAGAGAGACGCCATCACTAGCATTGCATAGGCTAAAAATATAAAAAATAGCAGCTCCTGTACTAACCGTTCGAGACCAGCGTTCTCTGTAAGCTGGGTGCTTGGGCAGCCACTCAGGAGAGATTCAAATGCTGCCCATCTGATTAGCAGAGTGGCCACCGCTGGGTTTTTGTTTCTACCCGTGGTGCTCGTTGGCACATGCCTCGGTGCACATGAAATGTTATTTTGCACATGAATGGAAAAGATTAGAGTGAACATTGTTAGAGACCCTATTTTAGAGGGAGCTTTCTTGAGTGTTCTTAGTTTTTATTGAACCCTCAGCTGACTCTTACACCCTGGCTGGACAGCCCCTCCTCCAGTGCCGGGGCTCTGGTTACCCTGGGCATAATGGTAGCTTCTTATTGTTAATTGAGGAGCCCAGCTGTATCGGATGCAGGGGACCTTTTGCAAGTTTAATGAGCTGCCAGGTAAATGCATGCACGCCGGGCTCTCAAACTGCTGGCTGGCTCCTTTTCTGGCATTACATACTCAAGGCCTTGTGGGTTATTTTGGGGCTTGCTTTGTCAAACATCTGCTTCCATATCTTTAGAAACAGGGCCAGGCTCTGCGCCTATGGCTGCCTAGAGTATCTCAGGGTAAGTCTCTACGGCTCCAGAGGAGTCTTTCTGAATTCACAGCGTTGCCGACAGGAGCAGAATTTGGCCCATCTGTCAGTTCTTTCACCTGCTGACTGCAGCTATTTGTTTGTTTAAGTCCTGGCGAAAGAGGCTGCTGTCGGAAGGCCCCGCTGGCGGCAGGTGGCTGTTGTTTACCTCCAAGCCGGTTCCGCGTACCTCAAGATTCTTCAGCAAATAAAAACACAGGCTCCTTTAAACTGGCTGGCTGTGTCTACACTGGGCCACTTATTCCGGAAAATCAGCTGCTTTTCCGGAATAAGCTGCGAGCTGTCTACACTGGCTCTTGAATTTCCGGAAAAGCAACGATGCTCTACTGTACAAAATCAGCCGCTATTCCGGAAAAGCTACGCTGCTCCCGCTCGGGCATAAGTCCTTATTCCGGAACACTGTTCCGGAAAAGGGCCAGTGTAGACAGCCCAGTAGTCTTTTCCGGAAAAAAGCCCCGATCGCGAAAATGACCATCGGGGCTCTTTTCCGGAAAAGCGCGTCTACATTGGCCACAGATGCTTTTCCGGAAAAAGGGCTTTTCCGGAAAAGCAGCCTGCCAATGTAGACACTCTTTTTCCGGAAATACTTATAATGAAAACTATTCTGTTTTAAGCATTTCTGGAAATTCATGCCAGTGTAGACACAGCCGCTTAGTTTAGAAGCAAACACCCGGGGGTTCAGTGAAACCCTGAATGTGCTTGGAAAAGATGAGCGCCCTGAGCCAAAGGCATCCCTGTGTTCTTGTCTTAGCCCATCGCCTGAATCCCAAACATTCCAGCCACTATCCCTGCCCCCCAGTGTGCACTGGGATATGTTGTTATTTGTATCTCAGTAGTGGCTGCAGGTGCCGATGGAAATTAGGGCCCTATTGTGCTAGGTGCTGTACATACAAGCAAGGTGGGTAGGATTGCCAGGTGTCTGGTATTGAACCTGACAGTCTGTCATTTTTGCCTCCTGTCCGGTACTTTCTGATTTTTTTTTTCCTGGCCAGGAGGCGAAAATCCCGGGCTGTCTGGCTCAATACAGATGCAGCCTGGCAACTCTAGTGCTTACTGGGGAGCTGTCCGGCTTGGTGCAGGGAGCCAAGATGGCGGGAGGCCGCCGGCAGCCTGTTAGGGCCCAAAAGCCTCACCACACAGTTTTTAAAGGGACCGTGGTGGTGGTGGGGTTTTTTGCTCAACAAACTTTTTCCTGGCGTGGGGTTTGGTTTTTTTTCGGTATTTTTTCTGAAACCATCTGGCAACCCTATTGGAGAGGTTGATACAGACTGAGTAAGGACAGTGCGTAGACTTGCTCAAGGTCACGCAGCAAGTCAGCAACAGAGCTGAGATTCACACCCAGATCTACTGGCCTGGCCTGGCCCCAGTCCACTCGCTTCTGCCGCTTCTGCGGGCTTTGTGGCTTGTTTTTCACATGAATTAAAATCAGTCTCTTTGCTTTTAAGCCTGTGCCCTGGCCGGCCTTTGGAACTGCGTGACCGTCAACCCCCTGAACATCGCGGCCGGCGTGTGGATGATGTAAGTGCCTCGCTCCTCCCTCTCGGCGCTAGCGCTGCTGGGCTCGCGGTTCAACTCCGCGTTGGGCAGCGGCAGGCGATTGAGCTGCGCTCTGCGGGCACAGAACTCGGCTCTCGCGGTTTTGAAATGGCCGCTGCTGCAAGAGAGGGTGTGTGGTCTGGCTCGTGGCCATGAGGGCCTCTGCCCCCACTGATGTGTGAGGCCGTGGAGGGTGGAGGGGGGTGAGCCTAGTGTGTTGAACCTCCCCGATCTGCATCTGCCTCCCTTCCTCTCCTGACCTCCTCCAGAATGGGGATTGAAAAATGCGTTCATTTAAGTAAACATGTGACCATGGGTGGTGGGCGAAGGTAGGGCTGGGGGGAGGCAAGTGTAACCCCGCCCCTTCTGCACAAGCCCCACCCCCCTACACCACGAGGAAGGAGGAGGGCAGGTGGCCCTAGAGCACCGGGAGGGCGGGCGCTGGGGGCAGCAACACTTCCCCCCAAGTACCCCTACAGCAGGCGTTCTGGTGGCGGAGTGTGGGCGGGGCCATGCCTGGCGGTTTGGGAAGGCAGAGCCTTCCCCCACCTCGCATACCCACCGCTCCTGCTTGCAACCATTGAACATTTCAGCAATTCCATGGAGGAGGGGGGCGGTGCCTGCAGGGAGTGCGAGAACTGGCCCAAGCGGGGAGTCAGCAGTAAAGTGTCACGTGCTAATGGGGAGGGGGCGCTCAGCAGGAGAATGAACGGGGAGTGTAAGGCCAAGGGCTGTGGATTGGGCATTTCCACCCTGTTTGCACCAGCCTACGCTCTACATGGAACTTACACCCTGGGCGGCAGGTAACGGAGGCAAGGGAATACATTGCCTTCCCACAACTGCCTATGCTACCCAGCCGCCTGGGAGGGCCTGGGGCCACGTGTGGCTCCCTGGTGGCTGGGGCAGGCTGGGGCCACGTGGCCTGGCTCCTCTGTGGCCAGGAGC